GTATAGGATGAGTGATTTTTTATGAAATCATTTCCATTATATTTAAGTTGGTTTTGATTAGGTATGACATAAGGTAGAACATACCTGCTTAGTAAACTTACTCAATGACGTAATACTTAGGTGAGTAAAATGACTGAAATACGCACATATTTGAAAGCAGTGGGTAACTGAAAATGAAATACCCACTCAACATTCATAATACCAACTCCAAAAAAATACAGTGGGTACAGTACCCACATGAGCTTAATCTTATCTGGAGCTCTGTGACGCATAAAGTCATGATTTTCACATATACAATTGTTATCACCTTGCCAAGAAATGAATTTTCAAAAACTTCAAAACTCCTATAATGTGATGAAAATATCGAATAATTTCTTCTAAATCGACTAAGTCCATCAAAAGCTGAATTTCCTTATAGTGTTTTTTTTTTTTATGGAATGAATCATGGGTAATATTTAGCGGAATCCCCAACTTAATGAATGTTTTTCTATCTCACCTACTGAAGAGCTTGCTATCCTAGCTTGGATCGGTAGCTCAAGTTAGGACAGGAGTCAGATCGTTTCGAGAATGGGTCTTATCCTAACTGTAGGATGTCATAACTCCTGTCTTAACTCGTTAGGATCTGTCTTAGCTGGGACATTTTTCGCAGGAATATTGATATCTCGCGACCAGAAGTGCATGTTACGCACATTCCATGGTATGGTTGAGAGATTCTGTCATCTGTTGTTGTAGAGAAAGTCTGCGTACGTAGTGTAGTTTCCGTAGTGCATTGGGTCGCTGCATGGGTGGTACGATTCAACAATCCGGCTGGATCGAAAAATTGGTAAGTCATCATCTTGATAATCTTCAGGGGTGGCAGTTTTAAGCATTAATTTGACATCTTCAAAGCTCTCATTGAGGTAGTCCTGTATGAGGTCGGTAGGGACAGATTCAAAATGAACTGTTTCATAAGTATAACTGTTGTGGCCGTTACAAGTACAATAATTGACGTTGTCAACACAGGCCGTGACATAGCATTCTCCTTGAATTATTTCAATGGCCATAACTTAATGTTTCCTCTTTCTGAATCCTTCCATTTCACTCTGTAGTAGATTTCGCTCTCTTGGAAGCAAGAATTGAGTGAATGTCATCAGGATTGAAAACCTTGGCGTCATTGTTTGACGTTTGTTGTTGGGTTGGTTGTTGAACCTGACTTGATTCTGATTGTGGCCTTGATTTTGTCTAATGATGTTTGCTGTTAACTCCTCTTTATCCCTTGCTTGTATTTCCTTTCTCCTTAGTGGGATTACTTGGACCTGGGGTGCTCTGTTTCTGGTTTGTAATTGTTGTACTGGGTCCTGCTGAGCTTTCCTGAACGCCTTTCTTCTTCTGGGTTGGAGTCCTTGGATTTCCCGCCTTAGTTTTTGAATTGACTTCCTTACCTTTAGGTGATTGATCATTGGTTGAACTTGTTGACTGTGCATTGTTGCTGTCAAGTTGTGGATCGTTGATTGGTTCCTCATTGTCATCTATGACCCCTGAATCCATATTGTTGTTGTTGAGGTATGGTTCTGGTGGATACTGTGGATGATCAGCTGGATCGCAATATGGCTTCATACGGTTGGCATGGACCAGTGGTTTGTGTAATTTGTTGTCAGAACTTTGGCGTAGTTTGTAGGTGAAATTTGTGTTTTCAGCTGCAATATTCCTTGTAATTTCTAGCTCCTCAAGCAAATTTGAAAGATAGCTTTTGTTGTTGTGGCCTAAATTTTCCTTTGGAATTAACCCATTCAACACCGTAGGCCCGAAAAACGGCCATGACGTCACGAGTCCCCAGACACTGTAGGCCGGTAAACCGGCCAGGCAGTAGTCGCATCAAAAATATATATAATTTAAGGAACCTAACTAACATATGATTCTTTTATCAAATCTATCACTTTTCACAATGTCTGAAAACACTTATTAAATTTCAAATGACAATATATTATCGACAGGATTAGAATTATAAACTATTTTTTGCAATGTTATTGAAAAAAAATAATTCTCGGACACATGCTTTGGCAGCGGGTCCACAATAAAATTGTCAAAGAGCTAAGTAACGATGTTTCAAGGAAATCATTAAATAAATTGAATAAACTAATGAATAAAATCAACAACAGCATTCAGAAAAGATGTAAATGTACATTTAAAATTACTATTTCCACATTTTTGTGCGATCATGTAATGTAAGTCAAGTCACTGACAAGTGACATCTCGGCTCTCACCGCTTCAATCTTCACGCTCGGACATGATGTTTAATGCGAAAATATATGCATGAAGCATTTTTGTCACAGGTCATAACCTAGCACGATACGTCCAACAAGTTCCATAATTTACGTATATGTAGCGATTTCTTGCTTAATATGTTCAAAATAGCATTATTTTACCCCCAAAATCGTCTAAATCTAAAAGTGATTAGTGACCCTTACTTTTTATGTAACTGTCAACTTTGTGGGCTTTTATGATCTCATATAGCTGAGGCTTCGTTGCCTTTGAAGGCTGTGCGATCTGAAATTTGTCGAGCCATGATATCATATCACCTTTTCGACTGTTCGATGTCGGGGTCCTGCACGCTGTGGTATGGGGCATTGTCCATTACGATAAAAGACTTCTCTGGTAGAGCTGGTACCAACTTGTTTTTAACCCGATCGAGGAAAACTGCACCATTCATCTCGGAATGGTAGTCTCTGTTATCTGTGGACTTTGCCCTGAATACAAAGTCGCAGCCTGGGAGAAAGCCTTTGCTGGAGCAACCAGCATGGAGAATAATTAGTCTCTCTCCTTTCCCTAGAGGTAGCTTTCTACGTGACCCCTTATCACCCCCATCGGGTACCCACTGACTGCTGGCAGTGTGCGAGGCATTGACCCAGGTCTCGTCCAAGTACACTGGCTCGAACCCTTCCTCACGCTTCTTCTTTATAACCCTGAGAAAATTATTTCTCAAGCAAACGATATCAGGGCGTTCACAGAATACTGACCTATTCTCCCCCGAAATTTTCTTAGAACGATACCTGAAAGAGTGTAAGAGTCGCCAGAGTGTGTACTTTGATACTCTGAGGTTGTGTTCTTGCTTCAAATGCTTTTTAAAAATTTTCAGCGACATGTATTTGTTTTCAGAATAGAGCTTGTTGATAGACTGCCTTACAAGTTGTTTTTTAAAGTTGTCCAAATGTTTTAAATTGTGTGATTTTGACACGACCCCTAGCTGTTGCGCATCACCCTCACAATGTTTGTGTTCCAGAACATTTGTTGATACTCCTAAAGCTTTTGCTGCCCGCTTACGGAAGTCTGTCAGTCAACATTTCAAGTGTTAATTGGCACGGCTCCCACTGCCAAAATGCACAATGCCATTTTAGAAAGTGGTCAAATGTAACGTATGTTATATTTGGGATTACACTTTCTTAGTAAGCCGTGCCAATTAACACTTATCAGAGGGGTACACAAAGTCCGTAGTCTAGACTACCAATTGTCCGACTTCCATTTTTGTGGAAGCCGCGGTAGCTGAACAGTCTTGGCGTCTGACTTTGTGTGCTGGCGATTAGGTGCCTGACTTTGAGGGTTGGGGTTCGAATCCCGGATGGGACTCAGCCCAAAAAAGTACTAGAATCTGTACTTTTCTAAGAAAGTGTTATTCCAAATATAACATATGTTACATTTGACCACTTTCTAAAATGGCATTGTGTATTTCAAACATCAAACTTCTCTGAACCAAGATTTGCCTACACCTGTTTAAAATAACATATTTTCTGGAGTGCAGTGTGACAATGCATAATGTGCCCAACTCTTGTCGTTTTTTGGTAAAAGGGATTATGTGAATACTATGCACTAAAAAAACAGCATTCTGGGGAACCAACAAGTGTTAACAATGTGAAATTTGCGAGTTACTCTCTGCGTCATGATGATTTATCATTCAAATCATGTTTTCTGTTCTACTACAGATATGTGCAAGGATTAAGATTTACTGTGTGTATTTTGTCATTTAGCTGGAGTGAGTGAGTGAGTGAGTTTAGTTTTACGCTGCACTCAGCAATATCCCAGCTATATGGCGGCGGTCTGTAAATAATCGAGTCTGGACCAGACAATCCAGTGATCAACAGCATGAGCATCGATCTGCGCAATTTGGAACCGATGACATGTGTCAACCAAGTCAGCGAAACTGACCACCCGATCCCGTTAGTCGCCTCATTTAGCTGGAAAAAGCACTCACATGTATACACATTCTCTTGATCTCCAGATCTACGGATGATTCAGTAAAAAATACATGATAAACAAAATACATTAACAAATTTCGATTCAATGTTTGTGAGACATTTTGCAGCTTGTTTTGTAGATTTAGCATTAGTCCAGAGCATTTGTGTAAAACACATTTGCTTATCAGAGCAGACTACTTTTGCTCAGTGTCCATCTTTCTTTTTGTCTTACCTGTTGACTTCATATCCAGTTGAACTTTATTGGGGTGACACTGTTACATGTTTTGCCTGCATTATTAGAATATTTGATCAAATTGTTAGGAGCAAACATGCCATAATAGAATGGTTGTCACATCTTGATTTAGGAAAAACCAAGTTCTATGGATAGTGAACTTCTTTATTGCAATAAGTGTGACGTTTCGGTGTAGGTACTAACACGGAAATGTCACACTTATTGCAATAAAGAGGTTCACTATCCATAGAACATGGTTTTCCTTCATCTATACAACTTCTAACATGCCTCTCAAAGAAGACATCTTGATTTGCTTGTTTGAATGAACCATGATCAAACTTAACATAAAAAACAGTGAGTCATAGGACAAAATTCTTTTGTTTCTTGTTAGCCTCATATGTGACTTATATCATCCTAAGTTCTCAGAGCAGTGAACTGGAAGTGACAATGCTGTTCAGATAAACATGTGTCACTCTATTATTGTGAGCAAGGGATACACCCTTGAGAATTTGAGAGAACTTGTGTCTAGCTATTATCATATTGTTTCATTTATCCTTCAGCAAGAAGCTGAAAAGCTTGCGCAGGAGATACGGGGTGTAAACCGAGAGATGACACAGGTGCAGCATTCCGGCAATACTATACGCATGGAGGTGGACAACTTACGCAGGGAAATACAAGGTCAACTTAACGTGGAAACGAAAGATTGTCAAGTTTATTTCTTTTAACAAATAACCACATTCTTTGACAATGACAACTTTAAAAAAAAAAACAGCATGTAATGCGGGGGAATATAGTCTTTGTCCGTCCGTCCGTAATCATTTTGATTCCGGAGCATAACTCGAAAACTGTTTTTCAACAAAACTTGGCAGACATATCAAACTGAACCTAAAGTGGTGACTTTTGCTGTTTACAGATTTTTGTCAGTTTTATTTTTCTTGGTTTCCATGGAAATGTTTTGGACTTTGTCCGAAAAAATCAAGTTCAGCTTTAAGTAACTGTTAGATGATTTGCTCTTTCATATTTGTAGGGGCCGGGGGGATTTGTCATCTTCTGATGACTCTTGTTTGTGATTGTAGGCAGTCAACAGGAGCTAAATCAGATCCAAGACATCAGTAGACGGCGGTTGGAGACACTTCGTCAGAGACACAGACATACATATGATGCTGTGATGTGGCTAAGGGAGAACAAGAATCGGTTTTGTAAAAAGATATACGAACCTATGATATTATGTGTGAGTATACTAATCTCAATAACTTGTCTTGCCGCTCTTTTAGTTGTTTTGTCTTATGTACAGGACTACTTGATATGCAAGGTGATCATAGTCTTAAAAAATTGTAAACACACTTGAACCTTATGTTCAAATGAGCTTATGGTGTGATGTTAATTCATCTGCAGCATGTTGTAGGTTGATTAAAATTTCATGTGTCTTATTGTGTAAAAACCCTTTTTTGGTTAATCCAGATTTTTATCCCTGCAACACTCCGTGTGTGTCTTTTCCCGGAGCAGAACTTTAAAATTGTTCAATATTTTTTCACCAAACATGGCACTTAGATATGTCTGGATGTGAACTGGTGGCTTTTGGTTGTTTTGGATTTTTGGATAAAATATTTTTTGTGTTTCCATGGCAACAACTTTGACTTCAACTGAAATTGGTGGTAGTGCTCCTTTTCTTTCTCCTTGCAATACTCTCTTTCTACTTTGCTATATACACGCCAAAACATTTCACAAAGTCGTAACTAGCTGACATATTCATGAAGACTATTTTGCCATTGTGGGGGATATTGATGACTTTGTCTGCTTGTCAACTTATCTCATGTTGTGCACTTTCCCTTGTTCTTGTAAACGGGGACAGGAAACAAGGTTTCCAGCTTCTTGTAACACCTGATCCATCTGTTGAGGCAGTAACAGGAAGCTCATGTAGAGCATGCTTCTCGCCCAGGTTGACCATGTGATGACCAATTGAAGTCATTTTTCTTCCGTCATTATAAATTTGAGTTATAGAGTGTTGTTATAAACCTTTCATCCCTGAAGAATTTGTCAACAAGAGGAAATTGGGCATGGACGACTCATCAAAGAAGAGGAAGGTCTACTCAAAGTGGAGACTGAGTTTTTCTTCTCATGGTCATCGCTCATCTTGCAGCAACTGCACAGCAATATGCAACCATACCAACTCCTGCAATCAACTGGAGTTTGTTAGACTGCTTGTTTTGAATTTTTTTTTAAATCTTGCAAAGATTTTTATTGTTTTTACTATGTTTGACTGAATGTATGCACTGAATGAAAGCGTCCAATATAAATTTCTGTTTCTGTAATTCAAAGATGTTCACTGTTATGATTATCAATTTACACTGACCAGTGTCCTTGATCTTTCAGCTTAACATGAAGAACGCAGGAGATGCAAGATATGTTGAAAATCACATCAGTTTCAATGACCTGAGAGCCTTTGTGTGTGAAGATCCTAATGATTTGGATCTTTTCATGTCAACTATGAGAGATGAACAGAGGCTGAAAGTAAATGTGGTCAAGATGCCAGTAGAAACAGTGGAATCGTTCCGACCTCCCCAGCCACTAGCAGAATACAGGTGAGTCCGGCAACATGGCCCCACAGACTTGGGTGCATCTCACAACCTGACAATCAATACATTTGTTACTGAGGAAACAAGTTTGGTAGTGAGATAGCAGGGATATCAAAGTTTGCACAAAGATAACTGATAATACAGGAACATGTGGAGGTTGGCTCTCATCTCTCAAAAATGATGGTGTTAAGACAAAGGCGCCTACAATAAACTTAGTTACTTATTGCCAATGCAAATTGCTAAGAATTGTTGTTGACTTCATGTCCTGACATAAGTCCAGCTAGTGAACTGTTTTATAAGCTATTCTACCATGAATCAAGAAAATACTACATTCTGATTGGTTGTTCAGAAAAATCAGACGGCATCAATTGTGGATTGACGCTCCTCTGATTGTAAGGCCGCTTCACCGCGCATTAACAAATCTTATTGTGAGAACTACTTCCGTTTGACCACAATGATGGCGGATCATAACAACAACTCCATGGATTTTTACGATGACTTTCGAATTTTCCACATAGGCAATTGGAAATTTTTGGATTAAAAATGCGTTTGATTTCATTGCACTTCACTGCGCACGTATAGAACACTGCCGCACTACTTCAGCTTGACCACCAACATGACTAATATCAACACAACAGACGTGATGGAAATGCTGATAAAACATTTATTTAAACTCGAAAAATACAATTATATGATTTCCCCCACACAATTATGAGGGAACCTCACTATCATATTACCTTCTATTATAAAAATATTCAAACCCAATTACAATACACAGCCCCAAACATAAACAAAACAATATCTAACATATAAATCAGAAAGCCTTGTAAAAATACACCCCTATCTATACAAAATATGCAGAAAAACATTAGTAAACATTTACCTACCTGGTAAATCGTATATTTAATTCCGTTTAGAATGGGAAATTTGCAAGATAGATCTAACGGTCCGGCGAAACACCACATTTATGCCACTCATAGTCATACTCCATCATATCCTGTTGCATCGTTCACAAAATAATTCTGCTCTCTGCCAGCTTCCCCGCAAGGTTGTCACTGTTATGTTCATCTACTTTGAAAAACGCTTGGACACAGTCCAGTCCCAAACGATGAAAACAAAGTTCCAAGGAATCACAAGTTAGTTGCATGTACACTAAGCAGCAGCACTGTCACTCTTTTGTCGCATGCCGGGACGGAGGCAGTAAGTGAAATCATGATCGGCCGGTCATAAAAATCAACAGTCTTTGATGAGTTACAGGTCGTAGGTTGATCAGGAAAGGATCTATTCTTCGATTCTGCAGGGTTCAGATTCAACAGTCAGTCAAGTATTGTCCACTGTCACTTCAAATTTCAACCTTTCGCAAAATGTAAACACTGGCTCGTCCGCCATTTCAAACTGTTGCGTAACTGTCTACTTCGAAGAAAATAAGTAGGTCAGACGATTCCATTATAGTGGCCAGGGGGGTACAGTTTCACGGCACACAAAACAATAGGCTGGTTTTAGTCATGTGGAGTTGGGATGAAAAAAACAACAAGATCTCGGGTATTACATAATTGCATTGAATAAACAGTAGTTTGATTTTTATCCCACCGGCATGTAATGCGGTGGGATATAGTCGTCGCCTTGTCCGTCTGTCCGTCCGTCCGTCCGTAATCATTTTGTTTCCGGAGCATAACTCAAAGACCGTTCGATATTTTTCAACCAAAATTGGTAGATATGTCAAACATAACCTAAGGTGGTGCCTTTTGCTATTTACAGATTATTGTCATTTTTATTTTTCTCGGTTTCCATGGAAACGTTTTGGACTTAGTCTTAAAGAAGGGTGGGCTTCGTTTCCGGAGCATAACTCAAGAACCGTTCAGTATTTTTCAACAAAACTTGGTAGATATATCAAACAGATCCTAAAGTGGTGCCTTTTGCTATTCACAGATTTTTGGCATTTTTATTTTTCCCGGTTTCCATGGAAACATTTTGAACTTAGTCTCAAAAAGTAAGGATTGCTTTCGTTTCCGGAGGGGTGGGCTTCGTTTCCGGAGCATAACTCAAGAACCGTTCAATATTTTTCAACAAAACTTGGTAGATGTATGAAACAGAACCTTAAGTGGTGCCTTTTGCTATTTGCAGATTTTTGGCATTTTTATTTTTCTTGGTTTCCATGCAAACATTTTGGACTTAGTCTCAAAAAGTAAGGATTGCTTTCGTTTCCGGAGCATAACTCAAGAATCATTCGATATTTTTCAACAAAACTTGGTAGATATATCAAACAGATCCGAAAGTTGTGCCTTTTGCTATTTGCAGATTTTTGGCATTTTTATTTTTCCCGGTTTCCATGGAAACGATTCGGACTTAGTCCCAAAAGTGAGGGGTGGGCTTCGTTTCCGGAGCATAACTCAAGAACCGTTCAATATTTTTCAACAAGACTTGGTAGATGGATGAAACAGAACCTTAAGTGGTGCCTTTTGCTATTTGCAGATTTTTGGCATTTTTATTTTTCCCGGTTTCCATGGAAACGATTCAGACTTAATCCCAAAAGTGAGGGGTGGGCTTCGTTTCCGGAGCACAACTCAAAAACCTCTCTATATCTTTCAGCAAAACTTGGCAGATATGTGAGGCAGATCTTGAAGTGGTGCCTTTTGCTATTTGCAGATATTTGTGATTTATTATTTTGTCGGTTTCCATGGAAATGATTCGGACTTAGTCTCAAAAAGGAAGGGATGGGTTTCGTTTCCGGAACACAACTGGAAAACTTCTTAATATCTTTCAGCAAAACTTGGCAGATATGTGAGGCAGATGCCAAAGTGGTGCCCTTTGATATTTGCAGATATTTGTGATTTATTATTTTCTCAGTTTCCATTGGAAACAATTTGGACTTACTCTCAAAAGGGAGGGGTAGGTTTTGTTTCTGGAGCACAACGCGAAAACTTCTTAATATCTTTCAGCAAAACTTGGCAGATATGTGAGGCAGATCCCAAAGTGGTGCATTTTGCTATTTGCAGATTTTTGTCATTTATTTTTTTCATGATTTCCATGGAAACAATTTGCACTTAGGCTAAAATCAAGCTGGACTTTAAGTAACTGTCAGATGATTTGTTCTTTCAAAGATGTGGGGGCCGGGGGGATATGTCATCTTCTGATGACTCTTGTTTTGAACAGAATAATGTTAAAAAAATATGAACGGCACCTACCGCTCCCTTCACAGACGAGTTCAATTCGCCTCTCGTCCCATGCCAGATTACGCAGTGTCTACCGCAGAGCGAGGAAGTTCGATTTTAAATGTGTCATGGTAGAATGGAGATAACCCTAGTGTGTTTGAAAATCAGAGACATGCTTTACTGAATTGATGGCGACTAAATATTTCAATTGAAACCTCACGCTACGCGTTCGGTTCCAATTGAAATTTAGTCGCCATCAATTCAGTAAAGCATGTACGCGTTCGGTTCCAATTGAAATTTAGTCGCCATCAATTCAGTAAAGCATGTCTCTGATTTTCAAACACACTAGGTTTATCTCCTAAATCAATAGCAATGTCTGACAATGCAGTGACAAGCCACGGTGCGATTCAAAATTACGAAGTGAAAAAGAGACCAGGTGAGCAAAAGGGAAGAAAGAGTAAAAACAAACAAGATAATTTAGCATATACACTACCGACTAAAAGTTCATTCCCGTTACATGTGTGTGCAACTCATGTGAAACCTGTTGACCACAAGTGAGTGAGTGAGTTTAGTTTTACATCACACTCAGCAATATTGCAGCTATATGGCGGCGACCACAAGTGTGGGACACGCGTTGCACACAGGTGTGAGACCCGTGTGACACGCATTGCACACGGGTGTGAGTCGCTTTGGTCACTTGTGTGCAACCCGTGACACACGTTTTGGAGGGAACAAATTTTGACCAAAGGAGGACCCATCTTAACCTAAAATTGGAGGTCATAACAGAGAGAATTCTGAATAAAACATTTTTGGAGTTTCCATGGCAACATGTTTGACTTAGAATGAAATTAGTGGTAGTGCTCTTTTCCGGAGCCGAACTATAAAACCGTTCACTATTTCTTCACCAAACTTGGCACATAGATAGATCTGGTGGTGTACTGGTTCCTTTTGGTAGTTTTGGAATTCTGAATCAAATATTTTTGGTGTTTCCATGGCAACAAGTTTGACTTAGCCTGAAATTGGTGGTAGTGCTCTTTTCCGGAGCTGAACTCTTAAACCGTTCACTACTTCTTCACCAAACTTGGCACATAGATAGATCTGGTAGTGTACTGGTGCCTTTTGGTAGTTTTGGAATTCTGAATCAAATATTTTTGTCATTTCCGTGGCAACAAGTTTGACTTAGCCTGAAATTGGTGGTAGTGCTCTTTTCCGGAGCTGAACTCTAAAACCGTTCACTATTTCTTCTCCAAACTTGGCACATAGATAGATCTGGTGGTGTACTGGTGCCTTTTGGTAGTTTTGGAATTCTGAATCAAATATTTTTGGCATTTCCATGGCAACAAGTTTGACTTAGCCTGAAATTGGTGGTAGTGCTCTTTTCCGGAGCTGAACTCTAAAACCGTTCACTATTTCTTCTCCAAACTTGGCACATAGATAGATCTGGTGGTGTACTGGTGCCTTTTGGTAGTTTTGGAATTCTGAATCAAATATTTTTGGCATTTCCATGGCAACAAGTTTGACTTAGCCTGAAATTGGTGGTAGTACACTTTTCCGGAGCTGAACTCTAAAACCGTTCACTATTTCTTCACCAAACTTGACACATAGATAGATCTGGTGGTGTACTGGTTCCTTTTGGTAGTTTTGGAATTCTGAATAAAATATTTTTGGTGTTTCCATGGCAACAAGTTTGACTTAGCCTGAAATTGGTGGTAGTGCACTTTTCCGGAGCTGAACTCTAAAACCGTTCACTATTTCTTCACCAAACTTGGCACATACATAGATCTGGTGGTGTACTGGTGCCTTTTGGTAGTTTTGGAATTCTGAATCAAATATTTTTGGCGTTTCCATGGCAAC